AGGCTGTGTTATTCAGTGTGAAACCACTATGCTAATTTTAAAAATAAATTCAGATATTAAAATTTAAAAATCATAAAAATGGCTCCTTAGCATAGTGGTATTGCGCTTCCCTAGTAAGGAAGAGGTCATGAGTTCGATCCTCATAGGAGCCTTTTTTAATAGTAAAAATTACCGGTCACGGGTTCGAGTCTTACCCGTCTCGGCCTTATCAAAAATATTCAACCATATCAGAAAAACAGAAGGCCAAAAAGAATAAAAAGTCAGACACCACATCAACCTACCAATTCTGGTGGTAATAAATAACACACCTCATAATCTGTGGATAATTAACGAATTCATCCACGCACAAGAAAACAATTCATTGTCATCAGCCACTCATAAAAGCTGGAACTTTCAATTAACATCAAATAGAATTACCTCACAATTTCTAAAGAGTAATATAGATGATTGGAACAAATGTAGAACTAAAAGAGGAATTTTCCGATTCGCCATTTCAATAAAAAATCAATCGGGTCTTCCCTTATCTCTATCTGAATGGTATAAAGAAATTGACTCCAAAGAGGAAAGAATACCTAAAACCTTTCTCCAAGATAATCTTTCTATGAGAGGGTATAACTATAACTTCCTTTTCACCAACATACTAAATATCAAAGATCCAAAAACTAAAAACACAATGTTTAGATTTCATTCGAGATGCCTCCCTCTAAACTATCTCCACGAAAAACCATGCCCAATGTGTAATACTAACATGTCTATTGATCCATACGGTCACCTATTCTTTAGCTGCACAAAAACAAAAAACTTCATAAATATTAACAAACTAAAAAATTTCGTCTTTGTGACAACAGGTAGACTTTCAAACTGGACGGTGGATAGAGCGATTGTAAATGGAAAACCAAGTATCAAAATATTTCCAAAATTCAATAACAATACTCCAACCGATAACCAAATCAATCCTGACTACGGAATAGAAGCCTTCCACAAGCCTTACTTCACATGGTGTTATAAAGCCATTAATTATGACTTAAACAGATCATATGCATACAATAATGTAATAGCATTAATCATGCATCACATATGGATATGGATTTGTAATCAATTGTATGGTAACAAAGAGCTACAAGATACCAATCTGGATTTTGAAATGCTAACAAACAAATGGCACCAACTAGCTTCTATGGAATACATCAAATTATTAAAAGAATATAAATTATCGATGGCCAAAGAACCAGAAAGATTCAATGATATCAACTCTTATAATAATAATATAAAAATAATCAAAAACAGGATTTCAAAAAAATACTGTATATTAAGAAAATCTCTCCCTAATAATGTGATTGTTGACTTTTTCATATAAATGTAAAAGCATCATACAATGAACATTAATTAAATTAACTAATAAAAATAATAAACTTTATTATTGTTAAAGACTAAGGTCAAACAATAATCATTAATATAAAAAAAAAAAAAAAAAAAAAAAAAAAAAAAAAAAAACCTCATAATCAACTGGAAAAAAGCTCGATTTCCAAAAAAACAACAACAAAAAAAAAAAACATGGTGATTAGAAATTCTAATCCCAATAATATTAAAAAAAAAAAACCCCCTATATTTATCGAAAAGGAAATCTCAAACTTAATCAAATTAGAAAAATTCAAGGTAACGAAAAAAATCGAACAAAACGAAAACCTCAACAACAACAACAACATAAATCTTTTAAAAATCAAATTCAACAATTCTTGGCAAAGTCCAACAAGTCCAATTCCATAATAGAAACAACATTGAAGCTCTAAAAAAAAAAAAAATAATAATAATAATAACAAAAACAATAACAAATGGTAATACTAAAATTATAACCAACACAAATATATAAAAATTTTAAATTTTTAAAAAGTAAACAATAAAGATAATTTATTTAATTAACACCGCCGATAGATCTTGCGTCTTATCATATGTAAAAAAAAAAAAAGACTCTTTTCCGCCCAGTAATAAAACAGCACCAGTCTTCGCTAAATTCTTCATTATCAATCACAAACAACATTTTTTTTAAAAGTTTTTATTAGAAAATAAATGTTTTCATGGTTTGAAAAATCAATTGCAATAGGTCAACGAAAAAATTTGAGTTTTTTTGAATTTATTTTAAAAAATTTCTAATTTTAATAATTTGGCCATTTTTTTTTTTTTTTTCGTCAACCATATGACCGATAGAATATAATTTATTACTACTATTAAATGATTACATAAAAAAAGATATGCATTCTTTTCCATAAATTTTTTTTAACTTTTTCCAGTTTTTTATCTCCATATAAAATATATTATTTCTATTTATTTATTTATTTATTTATTTATTTATTTAAAAGATTTCTTTCGATATTAAAATTTTTATATTTTTTTTATTTAAATTTTATTTAATTTCTATTTCATTTTATTTTATTTAATTTTTATAATCTTTCTTTAAAAATATTTTAAATTGATTATGGTGGTAATGTAAAAATTATAATGTATTTAGTGATTGATGTATTAATATAATTATCTACCTATCATTAATGTCAAAGTGCATAGATAAATCTTTCCTTTCTCTGACATCTGATTAGTACCGATTTATATTAGGCAAACAAATCCCATTTTATATTATAATTAAAAATTTTAGCACAGGAAAGACTTTTTAGATTTCCTGAATCTTCCCATTCCTTGACATCTGATTTATATTAGACAAACAAATCTCTTGAAATATTAAAAAAAAATAGAAAAATTTAAATACAAAGAATTGGAAAAACTTTTGAAATTCTGAAAGTTAAAACTACATTTTATTTCTTTTATAATTTCAAATAATATTATAAATATTAGTGGATCGTATTTTTTTTTAATATTTTACAGTAACTATTATAGTGCTAAATTACCTTTAATGGAAACCTCTTAATTGTAATAGTTTTTGTTTTTAAAGAATGAATAAAGAAAATAAAAAAATTCTTTTTATACTAAATAATTTTAAAATATAATTTTTTTTTAAAAAGGAAATATTATTAAATGGATTTCCTTTTTAAAATAATTCCTTTTTTAATAATAAAGATTCACCCTCCCTAATTTTTAACAAACTCAAAAAGGAATAACATTTTTTAGAGTCAAAATTGATTTTTTTTTTTTTTTTTTTTTTTTTCAATTAAAATGTTTGAAATTATTAATAAATTTAGGTGATTGTTTTGATAAATTTCAGAAAAAACAAAACAAATACAATAAAGAAACCACCCAAAAAAAATTGTTATTATTTGAAAAATTTTTCAAACCCATGGGTATCTAAAAAAAAAAGGGATTAATTTTTAATTTTTTTTTTTTTATTTTTTATTTTTTTTTTTTTTCATATTCTACAATATAAAAAGTTTTTAAAAATTAATTTTTTTTCATTAATTTTATTCTCTAAATAAATATATATAAAAAAAAAAAAAAATGGAAGGTGAAGATGTTCAAGCTTTAGTTATTGATAACGGTTCTGGTATGTGTAAAGCCGGTTTTGCTGGTGATGATGCTCCACGTGCTGTTTTCCCATCAATTGTTGGTCGTCCAAGACACACTGGTGTTATGGTTGGTATGGGTCAAAAAGATTCATATGTAGGTGATGAAGCTCAATCAAAGAGAGGTATTTTAACACTTAAATACCCAATTGAACACGGTATTGTTACCAACTGGGATGATATGGAAAAGATCTGGCATCATACTTTCTATAATGAACTTCGTGTTGCACCAGAAGAGCATCCAGTTCTCTTAACTGAAGCTCCATTAAATCCAAAAGCAAACAGAGAGAAAATGACACAAATTATGTTTGAAACTTTCAACACCCCAGCTATGTACGTTGCAATTCAAGCTGTCTTATCCTTATATGCATCTGGTCGTACCACTGGTATTGTTATGGATTCAGGTGATGGTGTATCACACACTGTACCAATCTATGAAGGTTATGCTTTACCACATGCTATCTTACGTTTAGATTTAGCTGGTCGTGATCTTACCGATTACATGATGAAAATCTTAACTGAACGTGGTTACTCATTCACTACCACTGCTGAAAGAGAAATTGTTAGAGATATCAAAGAGAAATTAGCCTACGTTGCACTTGATTTTGAAGCTGAAATGCAAACTGCTGCCTCATCGTCTGCTCTTGAAAAATCATACGAATTACCAGATGGTCAAGTTATTACTATCGGTAACGAACGTTTCCGTTGTCCAGAAGCTCTCTTCCAACCATCATTCTTAGGTATGGAATCTGCCGGTATCCATGAAACTACATACAATTCTATCATGAAATGTGATGTTGATATTCGTAAAGATTTATACGGTAATGTTGTTTTGTCTGGTGGTACAACTATGTTCCCAGGTATTGCTGATCGTATGAACAAAGAATTAACTGCATTAGCTCCATCAACCATGAAAATTAAAATCATTGCCCCACCAGAACGTAAATACTCTGTTTGGATTGGCGGATCTATTTTAGCTTCACTCTCAACTTTCCAACAAATGTGGATCTCTAAAGAAGAATACGACGAATCCGGTCCATCAATCGTCCACAGAAAATGTTTCTAAACAAATATAAACTACTCAATCGTGATGAAAGTGCTTCTCACACATTTATTTAAATGTATAATAATAAAAAATATATTTTTTTTCTTTAATGGTTGTTGATCTTTATCCGACCTTAAAAAAATAAAAAAATTCTCAAAAAAAAATTTTCGATTCTCAATTCACCAAATTGTTTTTCTAACTCTTGAAGCTTCTTCTCTTTGGTGTTGGCGGCTTTATTAGCTATTATGAACTCCAACTTATTTACTTCATTTTAAGATTTTTATCTTCAATTCATATTACGAATCCATATTATCATGTTTCATTTTCAAAGCCACCATGGTCATTCTGTATTCTTCCATTTGCAGCTTCAATTCATCATTCCTATCCTTGAATTTGCTTTTGTGGCTGAAAAGAGTCGAACCCGTGACTTGTAATTTTTATAGGATAAAAGGCTCCTATGAGGATCGAACTCATGACCTCTTCCTTACTAGGGAAGCGCAATACCACTATGCTAAGGAGCCATATTATGAAATTTTAAGGTTAATTAACTAGAAAAAATAGTAAAATTACTTACTAATAGGTTTTTTAAAAAAAAGTCCGGCTTGCCAGATTCGAACTAGCAACCGATTGATCACTATTCATTACTACAGTCAATCGCGCTACCATTGCGCCAAAGCCGGATTTCTATATTTTATAAAAAAAAATGCAGGTATCTACTTCAATTTCCATGGCCTTGGTTCAAGTCTTGGTCATACCACGAATTAACGTGGTCACAGAAAAAAAAATATTTAAATTAAAATAATTAATAAATAAAAACTAGATTCGAACACATCCAATTGGATGAGGTTATTAAAAAAAAAAAAATACTTCAATTTGTGGGGGGGGGCTTAGCATAGTGGTATCACACAGAATAACACAGCCTCCATGGCCTTGGTTCAAGTCTTGGTCATACCACGAATTAACGTGGTCACAGAAAAAAAAAAAAAATTTTAAATTAAAATAATTAATAAATAAAAACTAGATTCGAACACATCCAATTGGATGAGGTTATTAAAAAAAAAAATCTACTTCAATTTGTGGGGGGCTTAGCATAGTTGTTTCACACTGAATAACACAGCCTCCGTGGCCTTGGTTCAAGTCTTGGTCATACCACGAATTAACGTGGTCACAGAAAAAAAATTTAAATTAAAATAATTAATAAATAAAAACTAGATTCGAACACATCCAATTGGATGAGTTTATTAAAAAAAAAAAAAAAAACTTCAATTTCACACTGAATAACACAACCTCCATGGCCTTGGTTCAAGTCTTGGTCATACCACGATTTAACGTGGTCACAGAAAAAAAAATTTAAATTAAAATAGTTAATATATAAAAACATGATTCGAACACATCCCGAGGAGAAACAGTTTAAACTGTAATATCCAATTTAAAAAAAAAAAAAAAAAAAAAAAAAAAAAAAAGGTATCTACTTCAATTTGGTCCCGAGGAGAAACAGCTTAAACATAAGAATCAATCTAAATTTTAAACCTCAAAATAATACAGCCTGGATAATTATGAAAAAATTAGAAAAATTCAGTAATGACCTGGAACTCTAAATTGATGAAAATTCAACTACCAAAATATCTTTAAAGGAATACCGATCCTATAATACCAACCTTATGAAAAAAAAAAAATATAATGATAAAACGATTTTTTTGAAAAATGGTGTCTACTTCTTAATATAATATACATATTTATATATTTGTTTCCCTATGAAGTTATTGAAATATCTCTTTTTATAGTTATAATATTCACAATTCAATTTTTTTTTTTTTGAATAAATGAGAGTGCTAAAAAACCAAAAAAATATAAAAAATAAATAATTACAACACAAAAAAAAAATATAAAAAAAAAGAAATCTTGAGAATTTGATTGGAAAGACTTTAAAAAAAAAAAAAACAAAAAAAAAACAAATTATAATAATATATATAAATATTTAATTAAATATTTTATTTGAATTTTTTTATTAATTTTTATTTTTCCATCAACTTATTTTAATTTTTATTTTGTGGGGGTGCACCTTTAAAGGGCAAAATTAATTAGTTTAAAATAACATTAAACTAATTTATCTATTAAAATAGAAAACAAAAACACAATATTTAGTCTTATTATTTAGAAAATAGAACATTTAAAAATAATTTATGTTATGTATTATTTCTTAAATAAATTAAAGTATTTGAAAGCCATTATATAAAAAAAAAAATTATTTTTTTAATTCAGTTGTATTTTTTTTTAAATTTAATCTAATTTTTTTTAAATTTTTCTTTTTAAATTTTTTTTTTTACTCTTCTCATATACACATATACCTATTATATTTTTTCATTATCATTATCAATCGAAACTCGTTCCAATATTAAAATGCAATTTACTCAAACTTTTAGAAAAGAATTTCCACAAACTGTAATTTCAAATTTATTATTTTTATTTAAGCATTAACTTTAGGGCTATTATATCGTATCTGTTAACCATTTATTTTTCCATGGTGAATTGGGTGCAAGTTTTTGCAATAGAAAATTCATTGTTATTAGTGAACAGTCTATTGTGAAAGGTCAAATGGTAAGATTCTATTTTTTTTTTTTTTTCCCTATCTTTTATTAACATTCTTTTTTATATTCAATAGTTCCCAATTAGTTTTCAAAGAAAGTACTATTTAGTAAGAAAATATTTTTGGTCTATCCAAATATTGAATATCTTTCCTCAGAAGAAATAGTGTAACTTTAGAATAACCAATTCTTTAGTTACCCCAAACGAACCTTTTTTGGCCAAGGAACCACTAAGTTTAGCTCTTGTGACAAGAGCCCACTATGGAAAGGAGTTCGATGCCTGGGGAGAGAAATCGCGAAAAATTTTCAAAAGTCCGGCTTGCCAGATTCGAACTAGCAACCGATTGATCACTAATTATTACTACAGTCAATCGCGCTACCATTGCGCCAAAGCCGGTTTTATATGTAACCTTGTCAAGAACGCAATGTAATAAATTACATTTATCAACAGTTTGATTAGAAAAATGAACAATAGTTAATTAATCATTGGATTAATTGTGTAATTTAATTATCTTTTAGAAGGCTAAAGTACGTCTATTATGGTGTCCTAATATTACATATACATCAAAACAGGAGGTGGTGTTATGACTCATCTAAAATGTAATTTAAAACAAAAAAAAAAATCATCTAATATGCCCCGAGGAGAAACAGCTTAAACTGTAATATCCAATTTAAAAAAAAAAAAAAAAAAAAAAAAAAAAAAAGAAGTCCTAATGTTGAAATACAATTTAAAAAAAAAGTCATCTAATGTGGAAACCAGATAGAAAGAAAACTCCAATATTGAAAGATATTATTCATGCTTTCTTGGCTAGATTTACCTATTTATTTAGCGTTGGTTTCAATTAGGAGTGGTTTAAATACTTTTTCAATACTAAAAGAATTTTCAATAGTATTGGGCTTAGTCATATCTTTATACTTTGGATTGGTTATCTTTTTGGGAATTTATAAGAAAAGATATCCAAACTCTGTGGGTGATCTTGGCTACGATAAAAAAGATATTGTATAAGAGGATAGAAATCGTACAAATTCAACTATAAATATAAATAATTAAAAATTTATAAAACAAAAAACTCTATCTTTTTATTTGAAAGTTATAAATTTATTATTTTTCTTTGGTTAATATTTTATTATTGAATTTAAAACCACCCGACCATTCAAACCAAAAATTCATATGTAGTATTAATTAATAAAATTGTTTTTAATTTTTCGATTTTTTTTTGTTTTATTCTTTATTAAAGAAAAAATTATGATCTAATTATTATTACTATTTAAATTTGTAATATCTTTAAACTCAAAAAATTCCTCTGTTTAACTATTTGTTTTTAAAGTTCAAAATAAAAAAATATCATAAAAAAATAAGGGAAAAAAAAAAAAAACAAAAAAAAATCTTTTATAAAAAAAAGAAAAATTGTCATTTTTTATAATTAAATAATTGAAAACATAGTCCTTTTTTACCTAATTCTACTTTGAATAACGTTAGTTTGTTTATATAAAAAAACCGAAAAATTCAATAATGTGATTCGAAATTTAATTAGGTTATTGAAAAAAGCTAATATTATTTTTAAATAAAAAAAAAACCTAATTTATCAAAAGGAAAAAAAAATAAAACAAGATTCAAACCCATCCAATAGGGTGAGGTTAGTAATAGAAAAAGTTCTCAATAAATATTTCTTATCGGAAACAGCCAAAACTATAATATAAAATTTAAAATAAATATGAAACAAAACATTTTTATCTTTTTTATTATTTTTTTCAATTTTAAAAATATAAATATTTATAATTTAATAATTAAAAGAATTTTTTTTTTGTTTTTTTCTTTTGACTTTTGTTATTGTTTTGAAATAATTAAAATCGTTGGAGGTATTTCACCACTTTCAAATTTTTCTATTTTAAAACCACAAGATTGGAATAATTCAACCCATTCAATTAAACTTCTTTCTTTTGCATCCACTAATTGCATCATAATTATATCCATATATAAATCATTTTTATAATATTTTATAGGATTTAAAATAATATCTAAAATAATGATTTTTGAATTTGGTTTCATTGATTTTGAGATTGTTTTTAAGATTTCATAACATTTTTCATCAGACCAATCATGAAGAATATTTTTCATTAAGTAACAATCAGCTTCTGGTACATATTTAAAGAAATCACCAGCAACATGTAATAATCTTGGATGTTGAAACTTTTCATTTGAAGAATTAATTACACATTCCATATCAAAATTAATTCCTTTTACATTTGGATGTGAATCTAATAATGAACCGATAAAAAAACCATGACTTCCACCAACATCAACAACAGTTTCAAATGATGATAAATCTATTCTTCCATTTAAATGTTTTGAAATATGTGTAGTACAACCTATCATCCCATCATTGAAAATATTTTTATGTGATCCATTCTTTTCAAAGTATTCCCAATAATTTGATAAACCAAGTGATGATGGACCTTCACTTCTTCCATTTAGAAAACTAGTTGGTAATGATTCTGTCAATCTATAATGAAAATCATTGGAATGAAATTTACCAAGTTTTTTTAGTGAACCATTCAATGAAAACTCTGTACTATACGGAGTTTTTGAAAATACTCCAACTTCTGAAATACTTTCATTAAATAGTTTATGAGGGACAAAGTATCTCATTAATCTATAACAAAACCATTCATCTTTGAATCCAATTTCCTTTGAAATGTCTGAATAATGTTTTGGTCCTTCCTCTAATAAATCACAAATTGAATGTCTCATTACAGTTTGAAACATTCTCGATAAAACAAATCCACTCGCAAACTTTTCAAGTAACTCCATTGACTCTGAATACTCCATCATTTCTTTATTCCTCTGATATCTTACTTTCTTAATATTACTGTAAAAATATAACTAAAAAATTGTGTTGGAAAAAAAAACAAAAAAAATAAAAAATAAAATTAACAGTTTTTGTATTTTTTATTTCAACACACCTATTTATTCAATATTTTTTATTTCTAAATTAAAATTAATTTTTATTATTGTATTCTTTAACTAATATATTTTTTACCCACACTTTTTTCACCCAATTTCAATAATACTGATACTCTTACCATTTTTGGTTATATTAAATATCAATTTGTAATAAAAATATTTTTTTCTTCTTGAAATAGACAATTCGGACACTTAATCTAATTTTCATGTAAATAATATTTATTATAAAAATAATAATAATAATAATTAATAATAATAATAATAATAATAATAATAATAATAATAATAATAATAATAATAATAATAATAATAATAATAATAATAATAATAATAATAATAATAATAATAATAATAATAATAATAATAATAATAATAATAATAATAATAATAATAATAATAATAATAATAATAATAATAATAATAATAATAATAATAATAATAATAATAATAATTATTTTAAAAATAATAAAATTTATTTTTTTGAGACAATGATTAATGGAGGTGTTACTGAAGAATTAATAGAATCGATTACAAAGTCACACTTTTCAAATAACTGTTGCCAATCAATTAAACTTCTTTCTTTTGCATCAAAGAAATGCATCATTAAAATGTCTTTAAAAACAGCTTCTTTTGTATAGTTTGAAGGATCTAGAATCAAATCAATAATAATGATTTTTCCATTTGGCTTCATTGACTTTGAGATTGTTTTTAAGATTTCACAACATTTTTCATCAGACCAATCATGGAGAATATATTTCATTAAGTAACAATCAGCTTCAGGTACAGATTTAAAGAAATCACCAGCAATATGTGATAATCTTGGATGTTGATACTTTTCATTGGAAGCATTTAATGTACTCTCTAGGTCGAAATTAATACCATTTACATTTGGATGTAATTCTAACAATGAACCAATAACCAAACCATGACTACCACCAACATCTACAACAGTTTCAAATGGTGATAAATCAACTTTTGATATTGTTTTATCGATGATTAAAGAAGAGTAATCTTTCATTGCTTGATTAAATAATTCTTTATATTGGCTACTCTTTTCAAAGAATTCCCAAAAGTTTGATAAACCAACTGATGACGGTCCATTGGTTTTACCCATTTCAACGGTCAATGGTATAGATTCTAACATTCTATAATGATGGTCTTGTGAATAATAGAAACCAAGATTCTTTAAAGCACCATTCTTTGAGAATTGTGTACTTGATGGTGTTTTTGAAAATACCCCAACTTCTGTAAAACTTTCATTAAATAGTCTATGTGGTACAAAGTATCTAAGTAATCTGTAACATGAAGAGTCATCTTTGAATCCAATGATCTTTGAAATCTCTGAATAATGTTTTGGTCCATCCTCTAATAGATCACAAATTGAAAATCTCATCATTGTTTGAAACATTCTTGTATGTAAATGACCACCTGCAAATCCAAATAATAATTCCATCGATTCATTCCATCCTAAAGATTTTTCATTTTGACTTACTAACATTTCTTAAAAACTATTAATTTTTTTATTTTTTTATTTTATTTTTATTGTATTTCTTTTTTTTTTTCTCCTTTTATACTTAATAAAAAAAAATTTTTTTTTTTTACCCACTCTTTCTTTTTCAAATTAAATCTTCCTGAATCTACTGGAATAAAAAAGAATTCGATGTGTGTGGGTTATTTAAAATAAATACAAAAAAAAACCAAATAATACAAACTCGTTTCTAGAATTTGTTTTGTTATACATGGATAAAAGAAATTTTAATAACTTTGTTGTAATATTGTGAATATTTTTTTTTTTCACAAACAAACAAAACCTTTTATTTAATTATATACATAATCTCTTTGGAATAAACCTAACTTGTCTTTATAAATTTTCTCACTATTATCATTATCTTCAACATCTGTCTCCATTTCATCATATTCAACTTCCTCTTTCTCCTCTTCCTCTTCCTCTTCATCTTTCTCTTTCTCTTTGTCCTCTTTTTCAATATCATCAATATAATGAAAAAAAATTGATTCCTCATTATCATTTTCATCCTCCAATGTATTTTCCAAATACCTTAAAAAAAATATAATTGGTTTTATAATAATAAAAATATTAATAATAATAATAATAATAATAATAATAATAATAATAATAATAATAATAATAATAATAATAATAATAATAATAATAATAATAATAATAACAATAATAATAATAATAATAATAATAATAATAATAATAATAATAATAATAATAATAATAATAATAATAATAATAATAATAATAATAATAATAATAATAATAATAATAATAATAATAATAATAATAATAATAATAATAATAATAATAATAATAATAATAATAATAATAATAATAATAATAATAATAATAATAATAATAATAATAATAATAATAATAGTAATAATAATAATAATTTACCATTTTGAAT